GCTGGATGAGCCAAAAGGAGGTCTTAGCCATAACTCTGGAGTAGACACAGTAGGTGTGCAAATCTGCACATAAAAATAACTCTCACTTGAATATACCTGATTTCCTTGTTCTCTTCCATTTGTGTTTGCCAGTGCTGTGCCCACTGTCACTGTAAGGGCTTGGAGTGGCTTGTCTTCTTCTGTGCCCCCTGTGATATGTCCTCAACTGAGACCTCTCCCTGTTAGGAGTCTCTCTGGAGATTCAGCAGTGTGTAACCTTTCCATCCCATCCCATCCCATCCCATCCCATCCCATCCCATCCCATCCCATCCCATCCCATCCCATTCCAACAAGCTGATCCCTTAGTTGTTTGAATTCATTAACAACTTTCAGTATTTTGGTAAAGAATTTGAACTATCTACATTCAGATAACAGTGATTAATGTGATTTACCTTTTAAATTTCTCTCCACAGAAGCATCATCAATTTTTCTCATCTCTTCCTTTATTTCTGAGGTAGTGAAAAGTAACAGGAGCATCTGAATCCATTCCAGGAGTCTTTTCTTTTCCAGCTCTGGATAAGGAATTAGTGACATGAAGTAAAGATTTGGAAACCCTCTTTGGAGACCACATCCTTCAGATCTGTGTTTGCTGTTTCTCTGCAGGGATCCACCGGCTGATCTGAGACGCTTTTCAGTGCAGTGTGAATACTTTTGTGTTGTGAACTCAGCGTGGGTCTGATGAGTGCTGTACCCAAAACCAGCTAATCAGAGGAGCACCAATAGAGCCAATTACTGCTCAGGCTGCACTTTCAGCCACTCATCCATGTACCACAGTCATTCATTCACTTCCTCCTCTAAGGTAGTCTTGTAGACTTTGTGACAGGCTCATGGTTTTCCCAGGCAGGAGCTCTTCCTTTTAGGCCGCAACATCTTTACAGATATTTAAACCAAAGGTTTCTCCCTCTGGGCTATGTCATTTTCTTTGTTGTTTCTGTGGCAATGCACGTGATTTAAGCCTTTTAATAAAACATATCTCTGCTCTGTCTCTCTCTTTGCCTTTAAAGTACTGACAGAGTTGAGCATTAGGCCAGGTATCAAAGAGGAGAGCACTGTGCTCGACGTCTGGCTGCCTTTCTGATGGGTGTAGGTGATCTGAAACCTCAGCCCAGCTGTCTTTTATTTATATATTCACAGTGATTCCTTTGTAGTCCAGGGTACAAAATATCAAACCCAGATTTCTTTCCCCCTGCCCATCCCTCTTTAAACTGGGTGACCTACAAAGATGAATATTTGGCTGTGTTAGTGTCCCCACAGGAAGAGATGTTTTTGTTAGCTTCTCCTATCTATGCTTCTCTAATTCGAGTCATTCTTCTCATAGTTTGACATTTGGTCCATCATATTTAACTATTTTTGTACCAATGGATGGGCTGGGTGATTCCTATTTAAAAAAAAAATCACATTCTCTGGCCATAGTTCTTTATATCCTTTTCTTTTGAAGTAATCATGACCATGAAGAAACAAGATCTGTCTTTGGGGATCAGCTGGGAATACTGCTGTCCTAAAGAGTTTGGAAAGATTTACTTTATGTACAGCAGTAAAAGGACTTTCTGTAATACCAGTTAGAATTTGAATGAAAAAGTGAGTAGAAGGATCAAAGAGTTGGTATAGATGGGGATCTTTGCCTACACTTTCATTCTATTTTTATGTCCTTTCTTGCCCCCCTCTGCCCTTTTCCCTTTCCTCTTTCCATCTTCAAAGAATCACAGAATGGTTTGGGTTGGAAGGCAGCACCTTAAAGATCATCAAGTTCCAACCCCCTGCCACAGACAGAGACACTTTCCACTAGACCAGGGTGCTCAAAGCCCCATCCAATCCGGCCTCGAACACTTCCAGGCAGGGGATGTCCACAACTTCTCTGGGCAACCTGCCCCAGTGCCTCATCACCCTCAGAGTACAAAATTTCTTCCTAACATCTAATCTAAACCTATTCTCTTTCAGTTTGAAGCCAATATCCCTTCTTCATCCTGCCATCACTGTGGCCACAGGGTCCTGCTCTCCTTTTCCTTTGCCTTGATCTCTGACAAATCTCAACAATTCAAATGCAGTTTCCTTTGATTATGGACCTCTGTCCTGTTAACTGTGTCTCCTACCAAAACTCCTGTCTTACCCTGGCTCCTTGACATCTGGGGACATCTGACCCATCATGGCTGAAGGTGAACTGTTTTTCTCATTCCAAGTGACCCTTTATCCCTTTCGTAATCATTGGCACTATCACCTCCTCTTATCCATCACTTGGACTTACAACCTGGATGTCATCCTCACCTTAGACTTTCCTCTCTGTTCTCAAAGTTGTCTAGACACTTTCTCTGTAGCTTCTCCCACATGTGCCTTTCCTATCACTTACACGACAAAAATGCTCTTGCCTCTCATGCCTTGAGTCCTGCAGCAACTTTTTCTGGACAAATCCAGCCTTGGCCCACCACTGCCTACCCAACTTGTTGCCACACCCACTGCTTTTCCAGCTCATCATAACTGATCACGTTTACCACCCATCTTTTCCCTGGACTCCCTTGGCAACCAACATCCACCCCTTCCTTCATGCCAGGCTCTTTCTGAAGAGCTCTGACGCAAGGACCTCCTCAGCTCTGCATTTCTGCAGCATCTGGTTCATAAGCCATGGCTGCAGGTCCAAGAATAAAGAATAGCAACAACATGCAAGCTGATTCCAGCCCAAGCCAGAGGAGGCCAAAAGTTGCTGCGCTCATGAGCCTGTTCATAAATCAGTGTGAACTGTGCTGTCTGAGCGCAGCTCCCAGTGGACACACATCTGCATAACACATACCACTGACACAACTGACGATGGGAAAAATATCTAAACAGATCATTCCCACAGCTGGGGAGAAATGAATAAAGATGTCTCAATTCCCCTGTCCCTGGGGTGAACTGTGGTTCAGGTAAATGCACGTCTTAAACATCAGAGGTTTTAAAGACAGAGGGGCTGTTAGAAAAGTCTAATCTGACCACTCTGGCTAGATGATGCCACCCAGGGACTCCTGTGTCATGATCATAACCGAACTTAGAACAAGAGAGTGGAAGAAAGACACACAACTCTCACTTTAAAAACTCAGGTGGTGGAGAAGCTAGGTCATCCCTCAGTCAGTTGTTTCAATACTAAAATCTCGTGCTTCATCCCATTCTGGATCTGCCTGGCTTCAGCTTCCAGCCATGGGTTCATTTTGCGCTGTTGTCTGCTATGTGAAAAAGGAACCCTTTTGTTAGAAATTCTCACCCAGTTTTGGCATTTATAATCCAATAATCAGACATCCCCTTGAATAAACTGAATACAGTTTCTTTCACTTGGTGGCAGGATGACCAGACTATCAGTCATTGTTGTAGCTTGATTGCCCCAGATTTTCAGCAACCTTTTCTTCTGCAGACACCAGAGGTGCACTCAGGATCGTAGAGCCTGGTCTCCAAAGAGCCAGGGAATGGGCAGCGCCACCACTTCTATTTGGTTTTCCGCTCCCTTTTCCAAGAACCACATTTTTCCTGCTGGCTAGCCTTACACAAGTATGGAGCAATTTTCATTGGTCACTCCTGAAGAAAAATCATATTAGCAAAGTACAATTTGCGCTTCAATCCTAACTCCAGCACATGAAGGCAATTCTGGCCTGATTTTGGGCCAGAGCAATAATCCCTCCAGCACCCAGTTACTCACACTGGTCTCTTCAGCTGCAGGATCACAGGGGAGTGATGAAGAAAGTGATGCCACGTGTTTAAGTCCTAATCCAACAGTGAAATCGTAGGACTTTGACTTCTTGTCTGGACAAAAGGATGGAGACGTGAAATGTTTTGGTTTTGCTTTAATATCTCAAGTTTTTTGGATTTATATCCTGTCTCTCCTATGTTTTCAAAGAGTTGAACTTTTGAGTCACAGTTGGCATGTTTGACACAGAAGACATGTTTGAAACAGTCTTCTTCTGAAATTAATTTAGTGCTGCTGAATGGCAACAGATTGCCAGGGCTACCTGTCTTCTGTGCCCCCAGCAGAAGAGAGGCAGGACAACCTTGAGCTGTGGAAGGGGTTGACTTTCAAAAGGGCCAAGATGCTCCCAAACAAAGCCCACTCTGTCTTTGCTGGTGCAGAGATGATGTGGAGGTACATCCAGCAGAGGCAGGTCACCAGAGTCAACACAGACCTGTGTGGCCTTTCAGTCTGCAGAAACCACCTTACCTTTCCTTCATCACTCAGAAACCAGCATCTGATCTCAGAAGATCTTGTGTGGATTCCACATGGTAATGAAAATCATGACTCTCATGCTATTACTGACCCAACAGCAATGGGCACGTGTGTCCAGGAGGCTGCTCAACCCTGACTCGGGATGATCCCATGCAGATCAACCTTTCCTCTTGCAGTTTGCCTGGATAGAACAAAAAGGGGAGAAGGGCATCTTATGAGAAACCTTGGCACCATGTATAGTTAATGCAATTGAATTCACACTCTGCTCAGTTTTCACAAGTGGGTTCTTACTCTGATGAGTTAATTCCCTTTGACATCCCTTCTGTCCCTCCCCTGCTTTCATTGAGACTAAAATAACCCAACTGTCCATCTTGCTTATGGAATTACTGAACTTTTAAGAGAACACAAAGTGCTCTCACACAAGGATTTGGGATTAAACCTCTCTTGTTTATGTTAAACATAACATCTTAATTCTTCCACTGCTGGAGGGCAAACGAGTCTCCACAACCCCAAAAAACCCTGCTTTCAAGCCCTACAGCAAAGGTCAGTGTGATTTGTTTCTCATTACAGATGTTTTTCCCGTGAAGTTGTCTTATGGTATATGACAGTTCTCTTACAAAACATCTTTATGTAATTTAAAGCATTTTTACTTAAAATATTTTTCATTATGAACCAAGAGATGCTTAATTTTCAGCACAATTCTCTTCTCTCGAACTGCATTAATCAATGAAGTACCTGATTTTGTTTTCCAGGGATGTGGTAAGGAAAACAACTCTGTGCCATCCATGTCTCATGCAACACCCAAGGAGCTCTGGATCTGGGAGGGGGAATCCCACTGAAGCTGGCATTTCCTTGAACTGTGTTGGACTTCAATCTCCTGGCTCTGGGGGTATGTATGCCTTGGGTACAGATGTGTATGCACACCTGGAGGGGGACACTTGTGGGAAAGAGGGGCAAGGCATCACAGATTACTGAGTGGTAGATTACTGTAGAGTCCTACAGGGGCTAGAAATGCCCCTGCACCCCATGAAGGTCCCACAGATGAAGGGACAGGAAATAACATGAGGATGAGGCAGGGGCAGGGATGCAGAGCCCAGGAGAAAGTTAGAAACTGTGAAAAAGGCAGAAGTGGAAGGAAGAGACCCAGTACAGGAAGGAAAGGGCAGCGAGGGAAGCAGCTTGTCAAGGAAAATTTTAGGCAAAGAAGGAGCAAATGAAGGAATTAAGTTAACTAATGAAACAGTACATGGTACAACTTGAGAAACTGGGACAAGAAAAGAAAAAAGGAACAATGAGAATCCTAAGCCTTTTTTTTTGCCTCTGTCACTCAGTGGAAGTGTCCAGCAAAAACACCACCAGAGACTCCTGCACAGGAGCTCTCAGCCCTTCCATAGCGCCAGCTTTTGCCCAGCAGTCTCATGCTGGCCAGCTTGCATTGCCTCTTTTCCTGCAGAAAGCTGGGCCTATCCTGAGTGCCATGTCCTCCCTCTCAGCTGCTCCCTGTGCTCCTGACCTTCCTGAAGCCACAGAGCTGTTCTGCTTGCCCCACCATGGCCCTGCCATCAGCCCCTGCCTTTTGTCTCATGGGCATCCCCACACCTACTTCTATTTCTGGGCCATTTCAAATGAAGTACCAAGAGAAGGAGAAAAGTGAATTTTCTTGTCTGGGGTGGCCTTATAAGTTGTGTCCCTGACAGTGGAGGGTCATAACCTTCCCACCAATATCCAGCAACACTCACATGAGATGTGTCCACTCCCCACGAACGACTTATTCCCCAACCACCAGGCAGAAAGATTCTCTCTTTAGCAGCTACTGAGAGGGCATCAAACCATCTAGACCAACCTTACAAAATGGGTCAAGGCCCTCCTCCATTAGCATAGGGGCTCTGTATTTTTCCACCTTAAGTAGGTCTTGTTCTTCTCTGGTATGCTCTAGAACAGAGTATTGCAAGTCTTCGACACGGCCACTCTATCCACAGAGCAACTGATGTGAAAGCACATCCCCCCTGCTGTTGTGCAGGAGGTTTATTTGGATTTCAGAAATTACCCTTACCAAAGGATAAAAAAATGATTCTTAACCCGGTGAATTAACCCAAGCACGTGGCCGAGGCAGTGAAATGGTCTCTGATCCAGCTCCCACACCGGAGGTTGCTCCGTCTTCTCATGGCAATCAGCTGGCTTGTTGCTGAGCACAACTGTCCTCCTGACTCAGGGGAATTGCTTCCCTCGGGAGCTCGGTTAGCAATGCCACCAACATTCATGAAGGATTCACTTGAAGGCCAGCGATGAGGGCAGTGCTGCTGGTGGGTAATTGTTGGTCATTTAGTCCTACTCCTGACTTCCTTGGAAATGAGATGCTCACACACACCATCAGCACTGCCAAGGAGGGAACAGACCCACCTCTGAACCTGTCTCTGCCAAGTGAAACTCACCCATGCCATTGCTGATGACCCAGTGTCAGAGCCCAACTGCTTCACTGCTGTGCATAGGTCGGTGCATTTGCACCCACACAGCAGCACACGAGGTCAGATGTCAAGCCAGGACAGCTGTCCCTTGGCTACCACTTGAGGTGTTGGTGACACACATACAAAGCAGGGGGTGTTGGAGCCAATGAAGGCTACAAGGTCCAGCAGCAGCCAAAGCAAATGATTTGCTGTATTATATCACCTGTCAGCAAAGTTGCCTGGCTCCTCTTTGGATTGCATTAGGTGTTCAGGTTGAAATATCACATTCTACATGTTTATCTTGAGTAAGATTTTTGTAGAAAAGGTTTCAATGGTCTCTTCACCAGGGCAGTCTAAAGAGTAATTTATTTTTTTTAGTTGTGTAGAAGACTCTGTTCCCATGAGCAGAGGCAAGACTTTCATATTGGACTAAAACATAAGGATGGAGACAGAGATTGACTGGAAGAATGAGATTTGGGGACAAAAATGCCAGGCCTGGTAGGTCACACAGGTACCAGCTTCTTACTACATAAAGGGATTATGAATTCACATCCACTAAAGTGTGTGTGGCACTCAGATCATGTGGAGACAAGCATCACAGGAAAGCCTGTACAGGTGTTAATAGTTCTATCTCTCAAGTTTTGCCTCTCAAATACCTACAGATTCAGGGACAGGGGATTTCATGACATTTGCACACTGAGCAGTGGAAATAAAACATAACTGCTCTCTAGGAGAGCACATTCCAAACTGCTGCTCATGGCTCACCGCCCTGAAGGAAGGCTTAGGAGACAGCAGGCATTCTCGTGCTCCTGAAGATTTACCATTGCTCATTTGCATCCATGTTCATGTAGCACTGAGACACCAGGAAACACCTTCTCTGCTCATCTCATCTCCAGTGCAATAGTTAGAGAAGAGCTGCTTTCTGCAGATACCCTGCTAAAAACCCTGCTGTGCAGAGGCTTGCTGGAGCTGGAGCTGGGCACAGGCACAGCCTGAGGTTCTGAAACACTTAGGAGTGGCATTCACAATGCAGACAGCCCAAAGAAGTTGTCCACATTTCTTGGAGAGTCAATCCATTGCAGGAGTTTCTGTGAATAAGAGCACCAAGTCACTTGCCTGCAGCCTTCCTGTGGCAGCCCTCCATCCCCTCACCACGAGTTCACTGCTGAGGTTCATCACCAAGCCTCATCTGCTGCACAGGTGATAACAACCACAGAGGGAAGGAAAATGTCTCTTTCACAGAGGTGCATGTTAATCTCTAGTTCAGATTAAATATATCCTGGCTGCTGGAAACAGCTGTGAAAGGTCCTTTTCTTTGTCGTTCCCAAGTGTGATGCATTCCTCCTCTTCACCATCCCCTCATGAAGGGGGGAAGAAAAGCATCGGATAAAAGCCTTGCTCCAGGGCAAGAAAAGATCCAAACTGCAACTTTGCATAAATCTGTCAACTTTGATTCCCCTGAGAACAACTGCAAACGGTGAAAAATGGCATAGCAAAGCAAGCCCAGGTGTTAACTCCCTCTTTTTTTAATTGGGGGGTGGGGGAAGGGGGAAAGGAGAAAATGTTGTTGCAAACAGCCCCAAAATGTGATTCCTCTCACTCACCTTTATGCCTCGTTAGCTCTTTCAGGACTATCTCTGTGTCCAGGAAGTCTTATTTCTAAACCAGAAAGGAAATGGGGAAATTTTCCTGTATCAGTATCTGCTGCAAAATCCACATTAAGCACCCTTTGCTATTTCTGCTGTTTTATTCTCTCCCTAGATCAATTTGCGAGTGAGGAGTTTCCCTCTGTCTCACTTTTAAGTTCTAATGCATCAAAGATTTGCTGGGTTGGGCTCAGGCGTGGGAGGGCAGCCTCTGAGGACACTCAGTGATGTGTTTCACCCCAGGGTCAGCTTTGTATTCTGCATTAAATTTGGCTCTTATAGTTGAAACAAAGAAACACTGTTGTTGCTAACACTTTTTCTCTCCTCAATCCCGGCACTTTCATCCCCAAAAGTCTTGGCAACAAGTGGTCAAATTTTTGTTCAGGCAAGTGGAGGCCGCCATGGGGCCCGAGTTCATCTTTGCTGGTGATGACCTGGTTGCCCCTCAGGAGGACTGACAGCACCGAGGAATCCTGGAGGCTGCCCCAAGGTGGCACCTGTGTTTGGGGCATGTGGCAGGGTCCCCCAGACCAGCAGGGATGGCACAGACACCTCTTGCCTTGCCTGGGGCTCCTCTGGCCCCCACCCACCCCATGCAGCCCCCATCTGGCTGCAGCCCAGCTCCACATCCCTACCTTTATCCCTTAATCTCTCCTGCTCTCATTAAGCAGGAGGGTCTTTCGTTAAGGTTCCATTGTGCAGAAGGAAATTGCTTTTGCCACTGCAGTCCCAAGGGCTGTACATTTCACAGGCAATTAGACCTTTATCAGCTGCAGAGATAAGGATTGCTGAATATGTGTTGGCTGACACAGACTGACACAGACATATAGCTTAATTAATGTAAGCAAAATGCTTTGAAGTCCTTTTTATTCTTCTTTAGGGGCTGATTCTTTTGTTTGTTTGTTTGTTTGTTTTAAGTCCTTGTTCTGTTAATTGCTAAAACCATATTTGGAGTCAATGAAGTGAAATTCCTTAGGACAGTGTTGGGTACCACTAGTCACCATGTTTAAGCCTGGCAAGCTGCTCTCTCCAGACATGATGGACTTGGTGATCACTTCTGTGAGAGTTTTGGGAGCACAGCCTGATAGGACTGGAGACCCCACCAGACTGCTCACCACTTTCTCACACTGAACCACCCCAGGACTCACAGTGCTGAGCCAGGAGACCCTGCTCTCTCTCTGACATTGGAGAAAGCTGTCCACACCAGGACATTTCTAATCCTACTCAGCTATAATTCAAGTGTACATGGAAAATGGTTTACCCACCAAGGGAGTTTTGTATTACAGTGCTGCGCTGCTTGTGTTGGAAGCCAAATTAATAGTAAGGCTTGGCCAAGTTCTGCATAGGTTGAAACCTGACTTTTGGCTCAGTTTTGGTCTGACAAAGAGCAAGATTTTGGTGTCTCCATCAGCAGCTTTGCTTTTGGGACTGTTGTTCCCAATCCAGACACGGGTGGCTTGCATTCAGACTGAGGATACCTGTGGGTCTTGTGAGTCATGTTGAGAGCATTACATGGGGTTGGGCTTAAATAGATGAAAAGTGAGAATTTGTGAGACTTTGGCAGCCTATGCAATGAATTTGTAATGGCAGAGGTAGGATGAATTCCACCACTGCAGTACATGGCTGTTCCAGGGGACATGCAGAAGTTCAGGCTAATGTACAGCTCTGCCTGTTGTGTGGTGACTGATGGATTACACTGAATCACCCCAGAGTTGTGCTTGGAGTTTCTCATTTCAATAATCTACTAACTCACAGAAATCAATGGGAGGCTGAAACTGATGTTTTTAATGTGAGCTGGGTTGGCTATTAAAATCCAACATTGTTTGAGATCATCTCTCTTACATCCCTCTGAGATCAAAGAAATTTACAAGTGCAATCACACATAGATATGATATGATTAATACTCCAAGGTTCAGATCACAGTTCAGATCTCTCTTGAGGAAAAGATCTTTTTATATGCAATATCCAGAAGTGGTAGAAGATAATTTCCCAAGAGGAATCCTTGGTTCCTAAAATCACTTTCTTCTTGGTTCACCTTTCCTTAAAGCCATTTGAGAAAGGGATTTGGCCTACATAGACTGGAAACTGCAGAATGTTTTCTGAAATGAAATAGAAATGCACTGAAACACAGTAATACCAAGCTGGCCCAGCAAATAGGGACTTGGAGTTGGGATACCAGAGTGTAATTCTCTTTCCTCACACTGTGATACTTCGGGCAAGTCATCAAATAAATACCTAAAAATATGAGTCTTAGTCCCACTGTACCCCAGATTTCCATTTGTAACTAGAGAAAACACCATTTTCTTTGATCACAGTGGTGTGGTGAAGCAGAGATTTGTTGGAGTGTCATGATACTACAGTAATGGGGACTACCATCAATAAAGCTCATGTTATAGGAAAGTCTACTAGCAAAGAATTTATAACTAGCAAATTGAGGAAAGGAAATACAGTAGTGAAATGTTCAGAACTGCTAACTCTGTGTTTAAAGGTTTGGGAAAATGCCTAGAGCTGTAAGTAGATGCCAGAGAAATTAATTATGATAATAAAACTTCTGGGAAGAGGTGGAAATGCTGGAATGATCAAATCATGTGTAATTATGAAGAATATTTTCTGTCCTCTTGGTAACACAGAGCTGCAAGGAATGTGTGTGTTGCCTCCAGAAATGTGAGGGGCCAGGATGTCATTCTTCCAGAAACAAAACAGACAAGAACTGAAAGGAAAAAAAAAAAGGGGGGGGGGAGAAGAAAAAGAAAAGAAAAGCCAAACCAAACAAATGCCTCACAGGTCACGATGCAGCAGCCAGAACTTTGAAAGGCAGCCAGGGGAAATTCCCTGAGAAGCTTCCCTCTGCTCACGTAGGAATTCCTTGCCCCTAACCTTTGCTTGGGATCAGCTGAATCATGTTATATGATCTTATTTTTCATCCCAGCTGTACACCTCCAGGCTGCACACATCCAAGTGGATTATCAGGGGCAAACAAGCCTCTACTTTTCCTTTCTTTCCTCTGGCCCTCATGTTCATGGTTGGCGGTTTTTATCCAACCTAGTGGCCTCTGCTGGAGCCACATTGGTCTCAAAGGCTGTTGGGCAGTACCTACAAGACCAGAAATGCTTGCTGCAGCTGAGAGCCATGCAATTGCTCCTTCACTGACACATTTAAAGACAATATTTGCTGCTCACTGCAAAAAATTACTCGTAAAAACTCTGCCCTGATGGCAAGTTGACAGCACAATTACCTAAACTCTCTGTACAGACACTCCAGGTCACTGGTGACTGTTTAGGCTGTGCTGTTTCAAGATGAATTAATTGCCTCCTGGGTTTCCCCTGGCTCTGCAAGGCTTTACTGGATTCACACATACTGCCAACTGCTGCACAAAAAGCCACAGGGGAAAGATAGAGCTGGGAGAGGAGATACAGATGGGTCTAGCAAAGCTTTCATTTCACTTGCTTGTGAATGCCACGATCTCTTCATGCTACAACTCTTGTTGTGTTGCAGGCCGTTGAAAAGAAATAATTAAAAAGCACATTGCAAGTAATGAAAATTAAAGGCTTTGATATTGTTCTGCTGTTCAGGAGAAAGGCTGCAAACTCCACCCTGCTGAAATGCAGCACTAGCTGAGCTTCTAGGAAACTCACAGGCTTTATCCAAACTATGAACTGGGTCCAAAACTGGTCCAGTGTCTTCCCTTTCAAGAAAACTTTGATACACAGTAGTAGGATTTCCCCACACACCAGTACATAATGTTTTATTGATTCTTATCCCGTATGGAAATGGCACACCATTCTTACTCCTTACAGCAATGGCATGCAGTTTTTCCTGGGATAACTGCTTTGGTGCATCACACTGCTCGTCCTCAACACAGCACCTAAAAGCCCTGAACTGGCAGGTGTTCAGCATCATCCCAGAGTGCTGTCCTTGCAGATGCTCCCATCCCTCAGCAACATTTAAAAACCTTTAAATCAGGCTGTCTGCCTCCTCACGCTGCTTAGGATTCAGAGCACTTCTCCTGGACACATTGCAGAAGGAACCCTGGAGATCCCATGAAAGGAAGAAAAACTTTACAGAGTATTTTGTGTCTGTTGGCTCCGCAGTGATGCTATCATGTATCTCCTGGATTGCTGACATCTTGGCATTAATCCTCATGGGATTCCTTTGCCAGCTATATCCTGATGTCTGAGATATGATTTATGCCTTTACTGACAAATCCATCAATAGACAGTCTGCCCCACTAAAATGAGACTATCCCTCAGAGAAGCCCCCTGCTCTGAATATTTATGAGCAGGTTTGATCTAGATATTCCCAAACACAGTACTTTCAAAGAAGGCACTTTGTGGGCAACTTTCATCACAAACTGCAGAAGCCATCAGGGTAGTGGAGCGATCCTACTGCTTGATGATTTACTGGGATTAGGAGACCCCATCCCTTAAGCACTGTGTAATTTCACCAGGAGTGCTGGAAGTTTATTGCAGATTTTTCCAGAGATAACAGCGTTTCAGTGAGGGGATGCTGTGGAACACCATATTCTAGTGGGGTTCTCACCCTGCATTGCGAGAGTATCCAAATGTCCTTCAGAAACACTTCCAGAAGAATGTTTATTTCCCCCTTTTTTTTTTCCACTCCCCAAGCTAAAAGCTATTTGTCAGACTCTGTTGTTCTTCATGTGCTTTATATGATCACCTCTCAATAAGTGCATCATTTAAGCTTTAGGATGAAACCTGGAAATAGCACTCAGACCCCTGGAGAGTTCATTCCTACAAACTAAAGATGCTTTCAAACCATTCTGCCTGATTACACCTCGATACAGAATGGTTCAGGAGAGCAATGCTTATTCACTTCTGCCTCTCCTTTGGTGAGAATCATGACAGCAAGGGGGAGCCGGTTGTTTGGCTTTTTTATTTTATTTTGGTGGTTTTATCCCATTTTCCACCTCAGTCTGCACCTAATTCTCAGATATATTAGCTCAAGCTAGAAGTAACTGCTCTGATTTCAAGTGAGATGGGATTTACTCAGCTGGCTGCCTGCTTTGCTCAATTATTAATGTTGGAGCACTATTGATTTTGCCTCTTTGAGCTTAGTGGAGAGCAAGTGCTGAAAAATGGAAGTGGCAAACACAGGAACAAGAAGAAAACAGCATCTGCTTCCAACACGGTTCAGTCACCTGAAATCCAAGTGGCCCATGAAATATGTTAACCTGTGAAAAGTCATTCCCACAGAAGTTATTTTTTCTCTCTCAAATTCCTCTAGTTACTTTCACTCAACATGACTCCTCATTTCACAGGTTCAAGGATGAGATATTTTGGGATAATGTCTTTGGGCAAACAGTACCTTTACAGGAACTGGCTGCAATCTGGGAAATTCTTTGAGATTTGGTATATGGATGTCACACTGAAGTGCTTACAAGCAAAGGAAGGGATAAAACCAAAGCCATAAATTAGCCCAACTCTCGCTTTCAAAGACAATCTTCCCCCTTTCACCCCAAAATTTACTTTACTAGCTAGAGTCTCAGGCAGTCTGAAACCTTAGATTTGCTTTCAAAGAATAAAGAAGAGAAAATGCCCTTTAAGAAGTTTTCCTTCACGAGCTTTTCCACCCCAGCCCTAAGCTACCTGCTAGCTCACCCATCCTACACAAAAATCCTCCAGGACCATAAAGCACCCTCCCACATGGTCTCTCTACTCTGGAACACGCTTCTGCTGCCAAAACCCACCATGTCCAGCTGGGACAGCAGCAGCTGTGTTAGAGCCCAGATTTGGCCTTGAGGAAGAACTACTGGGGCTTTTAAAGAGATTTGTACTAAATCCCCACCCAGAGCACAGCCTATAAACAGAGAGAATGGTTTCAGAAGGAAAGTTATCGGGCCAAGAAAAAATCTTTACAGAAGTCACAACTGTTTGTATATAGGGTTTTACCATGATATCAGTAGGAGCCCAGGTCCTATAGTGATGCACTATAGAAAAATCTGCAAGTAGAAACGATCTCTTAAACAGAAACCCTGTTGGGAATGGTGCCAGGCCTTAGTGATATTTGACACTGGGCTTGATTCAGATTTTGTTACAGATTCCTTTCCTGGGGAAGAATAGGCTAAACCAAAGCAATGAGACAGGAACTTTATGATTTGAGCCCTACTCTGACACCGCGATGCTAAAAAATACATAAGGTAAAAATAACATGTCAAGCTAATAATATCTTAAATGAGTATCCAAACACTTCACGGAAAGCAAGTCCCTAAAAATCTTTACATATCCTTCCCCTTTCGTTGTCTCTTGCATAAGTTATTAGACAGAAGCTATGATGTAATGCAATCAAGCACAAGACTGACTTTTCTTTCTCTTCAGTGCATGCAGTTGAGGCCAAATATCCCTTCTCCTTTGTACCCTCTAAATAAATGGCCAGCCAGAAAAAGCAGACAGCCAGGGTAAAAAAAGAAGAGATAAAAAGAGATGGTTAAAAGTGAAACAGTGAGCATCACACCAGGAGGGTGGTTGGACACTGGAACAGGCTCCTCAGGGAAGTGGTCACAGCACCAAGCCTGACAGAGTTCAAGAAGTGCTTGGACAATGCTCTCAAGCACATGGTGCGATTTTTGGGGTTGTCCTGTGCAGGGTCAGGACTCAATGATCCTTGTGTTTCCCTTCCAACTCAGGATATTCTCAGATTCTATGATAGGAATTACTGCAAAGAAACTGCCTGGGTTTCCCTTTGGGTCTGCATCATGCCCTGTACAACTCTGTTCACCTTGAGGGAGAGGAGCAAGCAGAAGTAACCACAAGTGTTTACCTTCTGTACACTACGTTCTCCAATAATCTACCTAAAGAAAACAATATTCCTTTACACAAGAAAGCAAGGAAGAAAAATAAAACACATATAAGGCAAGCAACAGCTTTGAGGCTACAACCTACATGTTAACAAGATCTTTTAACAGGTTGTTTTGCTGTCTCCTCACAGAACTCACCATGTCTAGAAACATATTTTTTATACCTGGCTTTCTGTAACACCAGCTTGTTCCCATCTCTGTAACCAGTTCATTGCAGCTATAATAATAATTGATAAAATTGTAAACCTGATTACAAGGTCTGCTCCCTCATCTGCTTTGTTCCTTGTCTGGTTGTCACTTTTGAAAGGATTTAGGGTGGTGGTTGTCTGTGGTATCCATCCCCTCCCTGACTTGCCATAAATGCTGCCTGATCCAGGAAGCACAGTCTGGCTCCAGTGGAGTGGCTGATGATGTCTGATTAGAGAGCCTCCAGCCATCAACCCCACGTGGATCTGGTCCTGGCTGAAAAGAGAATATCAAAGTTGTGGAGGGAGTCAGAAAGGCTGGCAGGAGTGATAAAATGCCTCTGTCTTGTACTCTTGCATCCTACAGTCCTCATGGGTCACACTTGTGAGATACTGACCTGCCCAGAAGTGCATGCCCTTCAAACAGCCCTCTGGGTCTGAGAGTTATGATGCTGCCTGGGACACCTGAAGGCCAAAGATAGGCAATATACTAAGTAGGAGATGTCTTAGAGGGATCACTTGCTACTGAGGATATCCACAGGCTACCCCTGGATAAATCCAGTTTGAATCACCCCCTAGCAGAGTTGACAGGCAGAAACATTCTACAATTTGACATCTGCGTGTCAGTCTGCACCTCATCGGGAAACTGGACTTGATTTCCACGTGCATCAAGGAGAGATGTGGAGAAAACAGATGGTTCCTGAGCTGCCTGGCTGAGCCATGAGGAATTAAAGTGTCACCAAAGCCATTTTTTATCTCATTGGAAATGCTGAAATGGGTTGGAAATTCCGAAGTAGGAGTACCGAGGAATGATGTTTTCTCAGTCAAGAGAGCTCTGCAGCACTGAGCTTCAGCGAGGAAAGCAAGGAGCTCAGGGGTGAAAGGGAAATCCCACCCAGAGGGCTCATGCTAGCTGCAGCCTGGCTGTGTGGGCACGGAAGACAAAGAGGAAGACATTTGTTCCATAACACAATGTGGTTTTAAGTGCCAAGGCACCTGTAAAAGAGGCAAATGAACCAGCCCATCCTATGAGGCTCTGCACAGCTAGAGTTAGGAGCCAAGTTGACATACACGAACCCTAATTTAAGACAATTTATCTCCACGTGAGGGGAATTCACCACGCACACGTGTACCTGAGAGAGATGAGCTAAAAGCACAATGTCAAAAGGCCTTGCAAGTCAAAGGTGCTTTAATTTAATTACAAGTGCTTGAAAATGTAAACCAAAGTTTCTGTGGATGAGAAACATGGCAATGGACTGACATAAAAATCCCTAACTTTCTAAGCCAACATGGCCCTTTAGAGCTGAAACAATTACAGAAATCACTGCCACAATAACTAGATTAATCTTTCTTCT